GTGGCCGTGTGCATGCTGAACTGCTACCTGAAGGCGCAGGAGAAGCACGAGAGACCCGAGTTCATCCCGTACGCTCACCTCCGCATCCGGACCAAGGTACCTCTGCGCTATAAAAGCCTCTTCCCCCCATGAATGCGGAGTTGCAGCTTCTCTTGCTTTCTCCTCTGCTACATGGGGTGCTGCTGTGTTGCCATGATCTCACCTCATGGCTGTTTCTGAGGCACTAAGGCAGTATCACAGCTCAGATGAAGTACCTGTGGTATTCACAGGCATTCCCATCCCCAAGGGATCCTCCTAATACTGCCTTACTGAAAAATGTTTTAGTCTTAGACTGCTGTACTTCAGCTAATGCAGATCTGAAAGCCAATAGAGGAGATCCCATAAGAACTGGAGGCCTCATAGTACAGCACAGCTGATGTTTGAGCAAGAGCAAAGATCTTGTTTGGAGACTGTGGCTCCCAGCTAAGAGAGAGTGTTTCAGCTCCTGCTTCCTATCTGAGCAGATGCTGACTTGCTCGATCCCTAGGCTGTGTGATGTTTCTGTTGCTGTTGGTTTCTGATGCTGTATGGATCATTTGGGATCTGCCAATAGCTAATTTTCTTTCTTCTTTCCCAGCGTTTCCCCTGGGGTGATGGGAACCATACTCTGTTCCACAACCCCCACGTTAATGCTCTCCCAACTGGTTATGAAGATTAAAACCAAGATCCTGACACAGCCAGAACTTTGGCTTTCCCTGTCTGGAACCAGGATGTTGAGTGGGAACCATCATTTCTGGGTCACCATTTCAGAACCTGCACTGCTGAGTGGTGTTGTGGCCTCTGTGTGTGCTCTTAGAGGTCCCTTAAATAAACAACTCTGAACCCGAATTTAGGGTTTGACTCTTTTGTTAATCTCATTCCTTACAATTTCTTTACTTCACTGTTTGAGGCTTCCCACAGGACACAGAATATGAGCAAAGGGTTTTGACTCCCTGAATGTTAGTACCTGCTCCTGTGTCTGATAACACTGACAGCAGGAACACATTTGGGTTAGGACATGACTCAATTTCATACACTTCATGTCTGGTTTAACTAATGACTCTAAACTCACAGCCAGAACAGGTATCAGGCTAATAATGTAGATTAAAGTTCAACATTACTGAAGCACATTCTCCATAATCAGCTACTGCAATATTTATTATGAAGGTGCTTTAGCCTCTCCTGGCAGAGGGAGTGGCAGCAAAGATGTTGAGCTCAGCTCTCTGTGCCTTCACAACATCCATGTTCAGCTCTGGGATTTTCTGGTGTTTTCAGCACGTATCTTGCTCACAACTCTGCTTCCCAAAAAGCTGCAGTCTGGTGGTACAAAGTCTCTCACATAGGTGTTGCAGAAGAAAACACAATCTTGGCCCCACTGCAAATGTCTGTGTAACAGATACTGTCAGACAGAAGCTGTATTAATCACCCTCCACAGCCAACAGCCTGATCTGTGCCAGCACAACATTCATTCTGAAGTTTCCCCTCACTGAAAGAACCAGCTTCCAGTTCTCCCTATAAATCCTTTTTTTTTTTAAATGGTACGAAACAGAGCTCTGTCTCAGCTGTCATTAATTCAGTTCTGCCCAAAAGGAATGTAGCAGCTGACTTGGCATTTTGCTGTTGGAAGGAGTGATGGATGGCAAGAGAGAATCTCAGAGTGGGAGCTGCAGGAGGCCCTCCCCCTTGTTTCAATGCAATGTATTTGCATTGCAATGCAGTTATTATCTGCCTACTAGTAAAATGACTGCTGAAACAAGTTCTGTGTTAAAAGCACAGAACAAGGCACTGATGGGCACAGTTTTAAAGCTGATACAATCACACTAGATTTAGCTCTACATGAACATCAGAGAAAAGCAAACTGCTGGTATGTTATTCCTTAAAAAGCAAAGAAAGCCACATACCTGACAGTCCCCAAAATGCTATTTACAGTGCTCTTAGACAGAGCTTTCCTTAGCTCACTTTTTATTTACACCTGAGTGACCCACCAGCCTGTCACAGCTTCCTCTTGGAGTGCTGTGTTTAACCCCGTGCTGACAGAGCTCTCGTGCACCTGAGAACAGGTGTGTGACTTGCCTGTCTGTGACTGACACAGGAACAGCAACCCAGGCACACCCTCTGAGCATCTGGGGTCTCACTGAGGGGCTGAGGTACAGAAAGGACAGCTACAATGTTTGAGAACTGCACATTTTTTAGGCTTTTTGTAAAGTAAAACCTCTGAATAAGCCTTCAGGTAGTGATTAAAAGCAAAGAGAGTGAAACTCTTTTTTCCTTGCTGTAATTCTAGGAGAATTAGGAAGTTGGCTTCTATTTTGTCCTCAGGCCATATTTCTTACTCTTTGACCTGTGTTGGTGTAAGGAGAGGGGACAGCTTTTCCCCATCCCTGTGTGAGAATCATACCACAGGAATGTGGGACGCTAAGAAGAGAATTCAAGTTCATGGTTGTGTCAGCACCTCAGAAGGGGCTGAAGAAGTCACCTCTGCATTAAAAATCTTTTTGGCTTTTAAGCAAGACAACTCCATCCCTCCTAGAGGTCAGAATCAGATGGTACTGACAGTTACTTGAACAAAATATAACCTGGTTATATTTATTTTAGCCAAGCTGTTGCAGGTCCAATAATGCTTTTAGACCATCTTTGTTGCTGACACAAAACAGTGCTTTAGCCCCTTAACATTCAGGACCATAGAAACAAACTTCTTCCACCAAAATTCAGCAGCAGAGACAAAATAAACCAATCTCTTTCATACTCTTTTTAAACACTTTCCAGTGTTATATAAATAAGCAAAAGAAATCAGTCACAAAGAAACTCAGCCCACTCCAATCAGTGTTCCCCCATTAGAGTACATTCAACAGCAAGTTCGTTCATGTGGATTTTCATGCTGTTAGATGCTGAACCACCACCAAGATTCACTGGAAAGGAAGAAGCAGCTGCCACATGATCAAGTCTTCTGTTTGTTTTCACCAAGCAGAGAAGATTCTTTGCTCCCTAGAAAGTGCTTAACAAAGGTCTTAGCCAGGTGGCATCCAGTGGCACACCTGGTGATGGTGCTTAGTCCAGAGGTTCATGTTGGTGACTCCATCCACAAAGCTGAGGTCAGGAGGAGTCCTCAGTTTTCCCTTTGTTTGGGCCCATAAACTCCAGGCCCTCAATGGGTATGTCCTTCTCCTTGATTGCTTTCTGAAAAAAAAGAAAAACAACCCCCAAAAATTAAACTTGACACGTGTTTATAGTGCTATGTGATGTGATCTTTGGGACAAAACACGATCCAGAAAAAGCAGTCCTAAGGCTGGTTTGGATAAAGCTTCAATGTTAGAGTCGCTCGGGTGTGCCCTAAGCACTCACTGAACTACAGTCTGGGTCCTGTCTCATAAACCTGCTGCAGCCTCTACACCAACAGCTGGAACAGGTTACATTAGAGAAACACATTAAGAGACACATGGCAAATATTCCCAGCCGGGACCGACAGAAAGAGGCTGAGAGACACACAGTGAGAGACACCCGTCAAACATTCCTAGCCGGGACCGACAGAAAGAGGCTGAGAGACACCCAGAGCAGCACAGTGTGCTCACACCCCCGTGCTGAGGCTCTCCCGGGCGCAGCAGGGGCAGCAGAGCCCCGAGCCCCGGCTCACCTGCACGCAGAGCTGGTAGCGCTTGAAGAGCTGCCCGCAGGGGTCCCCGGCGCTCTCGCCCTTGAGGAACTTCTCGGCGAACCAGCGGTTGAAGCACTGGTCGTACTCGCGCTTCAGCTCGGTGCAGGCCTCGCCCACGCTGTTCATCGCGGCGGCG